CAGGGGTGAGACCCTCAGCTTCAGGGTAGCCTCCAGAACCAGGGAGACCAGCAAGCAACTCCAGGGAACCCAATTACAGGTCCCCACACAACAAAGACCCTGGTGTGACCTTGAAAAGGCTGTGGCCCACTCTGAGCCTCAGTTTCCTTATCTGCGATATGAGAACCGTCCCCAACTCTCGGGGTGGTAAGAGGGAGGACAGCGGCAGGTGTGCTACCACCTGCGTGACAGCAGAGGCACTCATATGCCCAAGTCCAAAGGTTCTTTTCCTGGCAGGGCCGCTCTTGCTCTTGACTCTCAACTCTCAATTAAGATGCAAGCGCCGTGGGGTAGGGAGCCTATGGAGAAGACAGGAGCCAACACCTGGGATTATGATATCAGATGGTTCCCCACCCTAACAGGTGAGGGCCCCAGGCTGGGAGCCGCTAGAGCAGACAGGAGGCAGGTTCCCAGCCCTGTTGTGCTGCGAGCCCAGGCTAGCTGCTGCTGCCCCCTCAGGCCACCTCCATCCCCAGTGCCCCTCTCTTTGTGTCGGGTGCTGTCCTAATATAGTTGTGCGTGGCTTCGTGAAGGGGATACTTTCTGAGAAATGCATTATTAGATTTCACTGCATCAACGTCATAGAGCAGCATGTTCACACAAAATAAGGCAGCTGTGAAATCACCAGGCCACGTATACAGGCGGCTATGGTTGACCAAAATGTTGTTATATGGTGCGTGACTACTGCCCAGCAATAGATGTGATTAGAGCCCGCCCTCCTGGTCCCAGGCCACTGGGACCAGCACTACCATGGCTCCCCATTACGGGGCCCAGTGTGGTCAGACTCCTGCCCCCTCCCTCATCAGCCCAGTGTCTGAGTGCCAAGGAGCCCTTGTGAAAATGCCTTTACTGTCCTGAGTCAAGCTGGGGACTGGAAATGAGGCCCTGATGCTCCCATTAAGGGGCAGGGCTCAGAAGGAACAGCCCTCGCCGCTTCCCCCAGGGAAAGGGGGGGCTTCTCGGAACCTGCAGACCTGGGTTCTGGGCCCAACTCCTCCAGTTCTCAGCTCTGTGGCCTGGGGCAAGTTATTCGCCTTCTCTGAGCCCCACCAAGTCTTGGTGTCCTCCTCTGGACAATGGAGACAACACCCTGTATGGAGTTGTGGCCAGGATTACATAGTGTCAATAAAGTGCCCTCTCAGCACCTGGCATATAGTTGGCATTTAATAAATGCCTCATTAAGCTGCTCTTATTCTCCTGGAGCCAAGCTGTAGGCCAGAACTTCAGCATGTAAAGGCGGGGACCTGACAGAAAAGATCTGGGGTTAATCAGGCATCATGAAACCTGGGCTCAACTTCCTGCCGGCTGTGTGGCCTTGGGCAAGAAACTTAACATCTCTGGGTCTCCATTCGCTAGCCCTGGTCTGGCAAGCAGAGATCTGGGTTCCAGTCTGGGTCTTACCTCTGGCATTTCCTCTCTCAGTTTCTTCAACTGTGAAAAGGAGACCATGTGATTTGTTCCCCTGGGTTGTTGGGGACTGGTAAAGGGATCCTGCTAGAGGCTCACCCCCATGTTCACAGGAAGGTGGGGGTACTCAGCATGTGCTGAAAGAGTGACTTGCTAGAACATCTAGACTCACTTCTGGTTGAAGTCATCCCTCTCCAGCTCAGCCTCACCCCTCTCTGAGGCCGAAGTGCAGCCGCTAGGGAGGCTGGGACTCGTCCCTCCCAGGCGTGATTCTACAGGCCCAGCCTCTGGTATGCAGTTGGAACCCCACAGCAGGTTTTCCCCCAGATAAATCACGGGCTCAGAGAGGCTGGGGGAAGGGCAGGCAGGTGACCTTCCACCTTGGAGTCAGAACCCACTGAGACCGGAGGGCCCCTCAAAGGGCCAAACCGCTAAGGGGTCAGAGGCAGGACCCACCCATCCCTTGTTCCGAAGAAGTCCAGAATCACAGGACAGCAGGGTGTCAGAGCCGAAGGGACCCTAACAGTCTTCGAGGCCTGTACCCATTTTACAGACAGGATGACTGGAGCCCCAAGAGAAGCCAGGGCTTGTCCCAGGTCCCACAGCCAGGACGAAGCATAGCAGGGGCCTTACCCTGGCTCTCCTGGATCCTGAAACTATCACCCACTAGTCCCACATGAGAGTTTTGGGAAAGGGGATCCAATGGGCGTAGTCCTGATGGAGACTCAGCCACTCCCTGGCAGCCAAGTTGGTATGGGCTGAGGAGTGCCTGCTGTGTCACTTCCCTGCCCTGGGGTCTGCCTGGGTGCTGATGTCAGGCAAGGTAAGAGAGGAGGTGGCAGGCTGGGGCTGTCCTGACTCAGCACCAGCAGCCACAGCCCGGAAGAATCCCTGAGAAGGGACCCAGGTAGTGGCTAGTGAAATCCCTGCCCCAGGCCCAGGGGACTGAGAGTATTCTCTGCACTGGTACTAGGTGAGAAGAGAAGGCGGGGGCGAGGGGACAAGAGGTGATTCATAGAGACAGATAAGGCAGGGAGAGCTCCTGCAGGCCGCTGGCGGGCAGGCAAAGCGCCCAGTCAGCATCCACAGCGTCCTGGCCCTGCCCCTGTGAGACTGAGAGGCAGGCAACAAGCAGGGCAGGGAAGATGGAGGATTGCAGGTTGCCTAGATCAGGGGCCCCTCCCAGGCCCCGCCTGTCACTCTGTCCTGCTACTGTTGCCCAGGCACCAGGCACAAGAGTTAGGTCTTATAGTTTGAGCACGACACAGGCCGGGTCCCCACCCTCCACCCAAGAACTAGCTAGGTGACCTTAGGAAGAAACTAACCAGTCTGGCCTCAGCTTCTACATGTAGGTAATGCTGCCTGAGATTATGAAGCGCCTTCCACTCCATCAGCAGTAGCTATTGTCAACATCCAAGCCCACACAGTTTTGGTCACACATCCAGTATGGATGTGACCGGGGAGCACGAAAGGCCAGAAAGTGGGAGCCCGGATCAAAAAATAGCACCATGGAGTCATCCCTGCCCCCCCATGCTGTGATGCCCCATTTTTGAGAAATGGGGCTTGGTCTCCCTCCTGTGGGACCATGAGTTCTGCTTATTGTGTGACAGAGGGTTCTGATAGCACAGGGCAATGCCTACCTGTTGGGAGCTGAGGGAAATCACCCATTATAGTGCCACACAGGAGACTGGGCCTCACACGGGAGGTCAGTGTCTTCTGGGCTGATGACACCCATAACCTCCTAGGAGTTTTGTGGCATGTAAATGAAGCTATAGGACCCACCTGGTGGGGGTGGGGATCTCAGCTAGGGACTTAGAGACCCGGGTCAGCAAGGGAAGCCCTGAGTGCCCAGCCTGGCCCTGGGCACACCTTATCTGGCCCCATCACTGGGTAGAGCCGTCTATCATTCTGTCTGTGGGAGATCAGAGCCTGTGGCTGTTGCCATGCCACAACTGGGAAGTGCGATCTGCCTCCTTCCTGAGGTTGGGATAGGGATGCACTCAGGGAGATGGCACTGAGGAAGGAAACCCTGGCATCTAGCAGGGCCTCAGTCTCCCATTTTAAAAATGAGGGTAGGGGCTGGGTCAAGGGTTGACAGTAAGTCCTCTGAGCGGGGAGGGCACTAACGTCAGCACCTGCCTACACCTTGGTAGGTGTGGGATGGATTATTCAGCCTGCAGGTCTGCAGGTCCCTTCCTCCGACTCCTTCCTCACTCCTATCCACAATAGCCAGAGAGCAGCTTTTGTCCAAACCACCCCATTTTACAGACTAGAAACCTGAAGCCTCAAAGCTTCTTGGTCTGGTCAGCCAATAGGGGCGCGGGGGAGCAGGCAGGCTGGGAGCCAGGTTCCCCGACATGGCTAACTGAGGGCAGCATCTCCACCTTTCTGGAAACTTCAGCCAGGGCCACCTCATCCCCTCCTGACCCACTTCTGGTTTCTTTGCCTAAAACCTCCCTTGGGTGTCCCCATCAGCCAGAATGGTCCCCCAAACTAGCATTCTTATGTTGTGCAATTAGCCGCCACCCCACCCTGGGACTGAAACAGTGAAAGGGTCAGACTCAGGTAAGGACACCTTGTCCCACAAACTGAAGCCACGGCTGGCTTCAGCATCCTTCTCAATATACAGCTCACTAGGCCGGCCTTCTCCACCACACCAGGGTGTGCTCAGAAACCACAAAAGGCGCTCGTTAGGAAAAAGCACCCACTGAAGGTCATGGCTGTCCAGCGATTGGCCTGGCTATCTCTGTAAGTGGCATGCATTGCCCCTCAGAATGTGTGTCAGTGTGTCAGCAGGGAATGGCCACCCACAGCCAGGACACTACACAGCCATGCAGGAGTCAAGAAGAGGAAGTCCAAACAAGGCCTGAAAAGTAAAATTCAACCCAGGTGGACAATCCTCAGCTGGACTCTTTACCCACACCCATGCAGGGATCCTGGTCCGAAAAAGTTCTGCCATGACAAAGCTTACAAAATGGCTCAGAGAGGGTGAACCAGAACTCACTCAGTTGTTCAACAGTCAGGAAACAGGCAGATGGGACTGAACATGGATGCCCAGGCCAGCCTGAGATGGCTTATGTTGCTTCTCAGTCTCCTCGCCTAGTCCCCCAACCCCAACAAAAGCCTTCCCCACCAGAGAGCTCCAATTGTGTGTGAGACTCTAGACTCTCAGAAGTGATGTGAATCGTCCTAAGGGAGAGTAGGTGAGAGCCCTACCATTTTTTTTCCCACCACCCCCTACTCCATTGCATTGCCTCCTGGGGAACCCACTCATGAGGCCTGGGAAAACGGGATTACACTCCTCAACAATGCACAAAGGCCCTTGGAGAAGGGGCAGCCCAGTGTCACCCGCCAGAAGATCCAGGCACCCTATTCCTCTGCAAAGAAACTGAGGAATGCCATGAAGGTGCAGGTGAAACCTCCTTCCAGGAGTCAGACAGAAAAACAGCAGAGACCCACTGGGGACCTTGTGGGGTCCCCATGTTGTGCTCCAAGTGAGCATAGGTCAGCAGTCCAGCACTTCTGTAAGAACTCCCACTCAGGGGCCCCCTCACCTTCTGGGCCTGGCTGATCATCTTGCGCACCACCTCTTTGATGTGGGCCTGCCCGTCTATGGGGGGCTGCATATAGACGCTGGCCCTGGTCACTCCGCGGTAGGCGATGGTATCGGGCCAGCCTAGGTCCAGCTGTGGGATGGAGCGGTCGGACTTCTGGGGCCAGTACTCCAGCGAGGGCAGTGGCAGCGGCTCCGCCTCAGTGGGGGTCCCATCTGCCCCACTGGTTTCCTCTCCATCACCCACCCCGTTGACCTGGGGCCCCTGGGAGCGGCTGGAACCCCGAGGATCCTCAGAGCCCGGGTCGTACACCTCGATAGTCTCCAAGATGCGCTTGAGTTCCAGCTCCGAGAGAAAGTCGCGGATGTTCTCCCGCTTTAGCACCTCGTAGAAGGCCTCGGGGCCATGGGCCACCAGGGCCTCCAGTGCCAGCCGCTGCTCCTCGCTATAGAAGAACTCCGGCTTGGATTCGCTGGAGCGCCAGTTCACGTGGCTGTCGTCCAGACACTGCACCTGGGAGAAGGCCATGCTGTCACCTGCTCCAGCACTTCGGCTGGGGGTGGATGGGTGACACCGCTCTTCAAGGTCAGGATCCTAACTCCGGCCCCGGCTGGGGCAAAGCGCGCTCTGGGGCCTCCCAGCGGCTTCAGCTCCTCTGCCCATAAGGATCCTGTGGGAAGAAACTGATGAGCGCAAGGCGCAGGTCAGAGGGCAGGAGGGGCGGGAACCGGCGACAGAGCTGGGGGTGGGGCTGGAGGAAGGAGGTGGGGAAGGGAGAAGCCGGGCTGAGGGTGGGGGGTGCGATGGGAAGCGACGGTGAGGGGCCGTGGGCCGTGGGCCGCTTCCAGGACCCACTGTGCCTGTGCCTGTGCCTGTGCCTGAAGGGCACAGGGGACAACATCCCAGATTCCCCGAGCTGCCTGAAGTCCCAGGCACCTCCGGAAGAACCCTAGCGCAGCCAGGGAACTTCCAACAAGTTTGCAAGAGTAGGAGGCAAGAAACAGAGCCACCTGGCGCTGCGCTGTGGCTCCCTGCGCTCCCGGAAAGGGAGGGTCTTCGCTCCACGATCGGGGCCGGCAAACCCGAGAGGCCTGCCCGGAGGAGGCCGGGGACTCGGACAAGGGTCCAGGAGTCCCGGGAGCGCGACTAGCCGGCGCCACGACCCGCGGTGCCGGGGTCGCGGGGGACGCGGCCGGAACTCGCTTACCGGGCGGGCGTGGGCGTGGGCGCGGGCGCAACGCGGAGCTGGCCACAGGAGCCGCGGGCAGAGCGAGGCGCACAGGCGGCGGCTGCAGCCCGGGGCTGGGCGGGGGCGGGCCGCTGACTAAGTGCTGCCCCGCCCACCCCGCCGCCACCACCTGAGGTCACGTGCGGCCCCGGGGGCGGGGCCGGAAGCTGATTCACACACACACACACACACACACACACTCAAAGATAAAAGTCTTTGACAGGAGTCTTTGAAGGCTGTGCGACCCCCTCTCCTGCGCCACCTCCATCCCCAGGTGCCTGCATTCATAAAATTTCAGGGCCCAAAGACCAGGAGCTCTCAAAGAGGGACAGTGGTCTCCCTCGGATCACATAATGGGGACCCCCTCTCCCGCCCCGAGCGCACAGGGTCCGTTGGTGATCCTGGTCCAACACTTAGCTGTGTACAGTCTCGCAGGTGGGACAAGAAGTCCGGGCGGCTCTGTGGCTACCTAGCTGTCCAGTAGTGCAAGTAGAGTTGGGTTCCTGGGCTGGAAGCCTCCAGGCAGGGGTAGGGCACGCGCACACGCACAAACACACACACACACTCCAGGGGCTTTCACAAGGCCTGATGTACGCAATTCTTAGTAATGAGCCTACTGACTGCTGGGAGGAGTCCCTGGGGACTTGTCCTGCACCAGGAGCAGTGCCACATCAGAACCTTGGGACAGGGAGGGGTGGAGACGCGCCTGCTGCTGGCTGGAGTCAAACCCACCAGCTCTCTGCTCAGCGTCCCTGGGGCTTGGGACCCTAGTTAAGGGGAAGCCTGGGGACCACATCTGAAGGCAGACTGTCAGGGCGGGACAGCAAAGCCCATTAAACTTGGCCCAACAAACATTTCCGATTCTGTCACCTGCCTCAGCCAGTGTACCAGGCGCCTGGGTCAGTCCTTCCCTCCCAGCCCCCAGGACTCTGAATAGAGCTGACTTGAGGCCCTAAGGACACTGCTCTTGTGCTCTGCTGAGGGCTGGCCATCACATTGCTCCTCCACCAAGACCCTCCAGACACCCCCATTGGATCAGGCCTCCTTGCCTTGAAAAGACTTGAGCAGTGACTGCAGTTTTCTTCCATGCCCAGCACCCCTTGGAGTCCCCACCACTGATCCCTCAAGCCTCAAGTTCTGCACTCCCTTTGAGCATCCACCCCAGTCCCAGTGACTTTACTCTGTCCAAAGGGAGTGGCCCCAGAGGTCAGGCCCCTCACTCTTCCCAGGGACATACACACATACCCACATGCCCCCTAGGTCTAGAGGGGGACAGTGGTCCTAATGGGAAAGCTCTGCCAGGCAAGTCCTGAAGCCCGGTTTATACCCCCTACCACTGTGGATCCCCAGCCTGACCCTCAGTTATCCTCAGTTTCTCCTTTTGATCTTATCAATGCATGGAGGCCCTGGGGTTCATGAGTGGAGACCTAGCTCTCTCTTGGGGCTGAAAGGCCTCAGGCCCTCAGACTCCTGCTCTTACCTGCCCATCAGGAAGTTGTAAAAACTGAACAGGGAGCTCACATGGACCCTTCCTTTACTTCCCCCATTGTAACAACTTGCTTCAGCATAGTATCTCAGCCAGAAAACCAATATTGATAGAAACCACAGAGCTCCTTCTAATTTCACCAGTCTTACACACACTGTAGTCCATTTGTGTGCATGCATATGCTCAGCCTGTAAGGTGCCAATTTGTGTAACCATCACCGTTAAGATACAGAACTGTCCCATCACCACCAAGACTTCCCTCATTAGAGGCATGTGTCCACCAACCATTGCCATCCCTAACCCCTGACCACCACTAATCTGTTCTCCATCTCTATGGTTTTGTTTTTCAAGAATGCTGTATAAGTGGGAAATGCAGTATGTATCCTTTGAGGAGTGGGGTTTTATTTTGTTTTGTTTTGTTTTCTTTGCCCCTGGGCATAATTCTCTGGTGATTTATCCAGGGAGTTGTGTGTATTGGTATAGAGGCTTCTTGACCTACTGTGGGGTTAGGTTCTGATAAACCCGTAGTAAAGAGGAAACACTGTAGGTTGAATACACCCTGGACACATCTTGCCTCAGAGCATCACAACTTAGCAGCAGAACACTGCACAGTGCCCACCATTTCCCCTTGTGACCAGCAGGCTGAGTAGGAACCACGGTTGGCAATTGCTGTCCAGTATCACTGGAGAAGATGGGGTCACATATTGCTAGCCCTGGAAAAGTTTGAGATCCATGATTTGGCGAACAGTTTCTTTAGTACTCATATCATGTTCTCACCATCACAGTCAAAAACTTTTAAGTCAAACGATAAATTGGAGATCATCTGTAGTTTGCCGTGGGTGGGGAGGGGGGTTAACTGGAGATAGAACCCAGGGGTGCTTAACCACTGAGCCACATCCCTAGCCCTTTTACTTTTTTATTTTGAGACAGAGTCTTGCTAAGTTGCTGAGACTGGCCTCAAACTTGGGATCCTTCTGCCTCAGCCTCCCCAGTTGCTAGGATTATAAGCATGCACCATTGTGCCCCTCTAGTTTGCTCTTTTTTTATTGCTGACTAGTAGTCCATGTATGGAGGTAGTCCTCTTAAACTTTTTTTAAACTTTTTAAAAAGTCTTATTTTAAATGTCAGGATTTATTTTTACAGCTTTATTGAAGTATAGTGCGTATGTAATTTAATTCACCCATTTACATTATATAGTTGGTGTATTTTGTTATACAAGAAGTTGTAAAAACCATCACCACAATATAATTTTGGAACAACTTTTCATCACTTAAAAAAGAAACTGAGAGGGCTGGGGTTGTAGCTCAGTGGCAGAGTGCTTGCCTAGCCTGTGTGGGGCACTGGGTTCGATTCTCAGCATCACATACAAATAAGTTAAAATAAAGGTCCATCCATGAACAACTAAAAAATATTTTTAAAAAAGAAAGAAACTGAGAGGGCTGGGTGGCTCAGTGGCAGAGTGCTTGCTTCATGCATGTAAGGCACTGGGTCCAATCCTCAGCACCACATAAAAATGAATGAACAGAATAAAGATATTGTGTCCATGTATAACTAAAAAAATATTTAAAAAAAAAAAGAAAAAAACTGAGAGCTGGGTGTAACAGTGTACTCCTATAATTCCAGGAGGCTGAGGCAAGAGGATCATAAGTTGGAGGCCAATCTCAGCAATTTTGCAAGACCCAGTCTCAAAAAAAAAAAGACTGGGGACATAGCTCAGTGATGAAGCACCCATGGATTCAATCCCCAGTATCCAAAGGAAAAAAGAAACTGAGGATCCATCAGCAGTCACACTGCCCATTCTTGTCCTTTTAAACATTTCAGCTGTTGAGGACATAGTAGCTGTTTCTAGTTTTGAATCGTTACAAATAAAGCTACTGTATATAACAGAAGGTCTTATTTCTTGGGGATAAGTGGCCCAGAGTACAATTCCTGGTAGTTGTATAAACAAATTGCTCATCTGTTTTCCAGAGTGGCTGCACCACCTTACATTCCCACCAACGATGCACAAATGATCCAATTCCTCCTCATCCTTGCCAGAGCCTGGTGTTACCACTTTCCCCCCACAGTACTGGATATTGAATTCAGGGGCATTCTACCACTCAACTCCCTCCCCAGCCCTTTTCGAGTTTAGTTTGAGACCAGATCTCACTAGGTTGCCAAGGCTGGTCTTGATTCTGCAATCCTCCTGAAGGCTTCTCCTTGGGATCCTTCGGTCCCTGAGTCTCCGAGATGACAGTCTTGGGCCACTATGCCTGGGTCCTGACCCTCTCCCTGCAGTTTGAGTTCGCACTTTCCTAAGGGTTGTTATTGAACTTCTAGGTCTTATTCGCCGTCCGCATGCCCTCTGACAAAATGTCTCTTTGTGTCCTTTGCCCATCTTCTAATGGACCATTTCTTTTACTGATGAGGGCTGTTTGGTTTTGTTTACAGAGAAGTTTCGAATTTTAATGAGTTTCCGTGTGTCAGTTTTTCCTTTTATGGATCATGCTTTGGTGTCACATCCAAGAACTCAGCCTAGCTTTAGGTCCTGAAGATTTTTCTCCCATTGTTCCAAATTGGATCCTTGTTAACATTCTGCATTTAATTCGGTGATAAATTTTGAGCTCGTTTTTTGTAGATGGTATGGAATTTAGGTTACATCTGGGGAATATAGGTAGCCCCCAAAAAGTTTTCATAGAGCAAGATTTTAGTCTCAGAGACCTTAAATAATCACTCAGGATCACATGACAAGGGGCTGGGAAAGTTGGTCTTGGGTTGGGGTGTGTTTGTCTTTCTCCTGCTGCCTGCTGCCCACCAGTGTCTGGACTGGCTTCCAGGCCTGAACCAGGCATAAGGAGCACCTTGACACCCACTCAAGGTGGTATGTCCAGTAGCCTCCTTGGAAGAGAATCATGCAGTCAGTCAACAAACACTAGCACAAGTTACCACTTTTTGCCATGTGCTGGGCACTCCTGGGACCCAGGCTTCTTCCAGGATATCCATAATCACGATGTGATACAGAGGCAGGACACACAGAGGTTACAAAGTTATTGGTGCTATGGAGGATGTTGCCCCCAAACCTGGGAAGCCCAGACATCTCTGAATTGACAGGAATTAGTATTGGGCTTATGAAGGAGGGAAAAGTTAACAACAAACACCGTGACCCAGAGGTGTCCAAGAGAGCCTGGGGTGCTCTCCAGAAGTTTGGGTGGAATTGGGTGGGGGCAAGGGTAATGAGGAGGGTAGGAAGCCTTGACTGACACATTGGGAGCCTGGAGATCCCCTGGCTGGGTCCTGGGAGCCACAGATGGTTGGGAGCAGAGAGGGGCACAGGGAGACTGGTGGGTTTAGAAGAGGGGTGCATTAGAAGGGGCAGCGAGAATATGGCCCAGTTTACTCAGTAACTGAGCTGGACTCAGCCTTGGCCGTGGGGAAGAAGGGTGTTGGGGACAAGGAGAGGTGAAATTCCAGGGCTCTGGTGTGGGTCCTGGCAGAGCCGGCTGCCATCGCTAGACCAGAGCCTGGCAGGGAGCTCCCAGGCGTGCAGGAGAAAGCCTGCAGGCCCAGCTACCCGACTCTCTGTGGCCCCAGGCTG